AAAGCCCAGGTGAAATAAATCTGCCTTTTTTTTTGCTTTATTCATTAGGCTTTGTTTAAACTTTAAAAAAACCTAAAGTAACAACATTATGCTCTCATCCCCTCTCAGTCGTTCACTCTCTCTCACGCTCCCTTTCCTTTTCATTTGAGAGAAACAACCAGGGGATAAAACCACCATGGCCACCATTCCTTTAGAAATCCAATAGAAAGCTTACAATTTCTCAAAATCGAGAACATTCATCTCAACCTTTTAAATCTAAAAAATGAACACATAAAAAATCTAGAAACCCACATGCAACCTTAGATTTACAGGATTTTTCAATGAAAATACCTCAAAATTGAGAAGGCTCGGGTCCCGATCGGAAGTATTGGTGTTGGGTTCGACCAATGGTGAGCTTTTTCGAGATTTACTCTCCTCTTTTTTTCTAGTTTTTTCTCTTTTTTCTGTTCGAATCCCCTCTCCTCGTATGATTTCTCTACTGTATTTCACAGTGATTTTGTAAATTTCGTATGAAAAATTACTTGTATTTCGTATATATTGTGTGTGTAATCCTCCCCTAAATCGTAAGTGTTACATGTTTATTTATAATGGAAAAAAACTATATTTAGAATCCTATTTGAACTAGAATCCTAATGTTTCTTGGTTGTTCTTATGGTTTGTTACTTGCATGACGTTGGGGAGGCGAGAAACCCAACGTGGACTTGGGTTGTTGGAGACGCGGCGCTGGATGCGGGGCTAGGGAGTGCGGCACGCTAGGGTTTCTGGAAACCCTAGCTTACTAATACAGGTCGTAGATTTGGAGTGGGTTCGATTTGTGTGTCCACTGTTGAACCTTGGTTGCTCCAAGTGCTCTGCTGGGTTTGTAGTTCCTTGGGCCAGCTGGATTTATTTGCTTGTAATGGCTTTGGGCCTGCAAAATAAAAAGAAAGAATGAGATGTAAATGATATATATATATATATATTAGATAATATATACATTATATAACTATATAACTATAGCATAAAGACGAAAAATTGGTGTCTACAAGTACAAGTATTTATTTTAAAAAAATAATCAAAGATAAATAATAATGATCGAATAAATAAATTCAAATTTTAACTCATAATTTTCGCTTAAGAAGACAACCATAAATTACTTTTGGTCTGACCCACTTACATGTCTCGAGTGGAGTTGCCAAGTTGTTGTAACCGTCCTTCGAGTGGGTTCGGAATTGGGCTTCGACTTAAATAAATATGTTAGAGTCGCCACCTATCATTAGGTTGACTGGATACCATAGTTGACCATCTTACCTGATCTACGTTTTACCAAAAATATATCGAGTTCGGGAGTCGATTACAGTCAAGGAATGATTAATACCCTTCTACTGCCCTCTCGATATCAATTTAATTTTAGGGTTGTCTTAATTACGAAAATTAAAAGTTAAACTGAAATTTAAAAAATTCAATCTGAAATACTTACCTTTTATCGACTAAAATTGTCCTAAAAAGGTTAAAAATAAAGTCAAATAATAAAGTAAATAAAAAATATTAAATAAATAAAAGAATCCAAAGTAAATTCAAATTAAAAAGGGTTAAATTGAAAAGAATTAAAAATCAAGGATAAAATTGATGCTAATTGAAAGCTGCAAAAAAAAAGTTAAGGGGTTTAATTGCATAAATATGAGAAATATAATCGGGGATTGAATCGAAATAACTCAAAATTCAAGGGCTAATTTATAATAGGTGAATAAAATGAAGTACACATCAAAGTATCAGAGACTGTGGAAATAATTAAACTATTTGGTATTTGCACTCTAGTCCCCTCAGTTATATATCCCAAAACCTAAAAAAAAACATTGTAAACCTTTAACCCAACAAAAAACACTCAAACACTCTACCTTCTCCCTTTAACCGGCTTAGTGTAGGTCACACTCTGGCAACGCAAATTGCTGTCGCTCTGCCCTGTGGTGGCCGGAAAAAACCAAATCACACTAAAATGCTCGTCTCACCCCCGTGAACCCAAAACCATATCCCAAACTCTCTAAAACCACCCCCACCGACGTAGATCTAAGCCAAAAGGCTCGTGTTTTACCCTTTTTTCGGCGTGCTCCTTCGTTTCTCCGACAAGCTTTGATGAAACGAGGCCCTTGGCTTTGAGTTTTGCCTTCGGTTTATTGGTGTTTTTGTTTTGGATTTGTTGCTTTGTGGTTGCGATTATTTGCTTAGTTTTTGTTATGTGGTTTTCTTGACCTTTGCTCGATTGTTCTTCATGTTTTGATGCTTCGTTTTGCAGGGTTTATATAACCCTTGAAGGTGGTTGTATTTCCCTTAAATCAGGTCATTGTAATCCCAATCTTCTCAGGATTGTGAGTTCGTTTGAGTATGGATATTGTTGCTAAAAAGGGGAGTTTCCCCTTCGATTTTGCTCCAATTATGTTGTGATTCGAAATTGTTGGTTTAGCGCCGACGCGTGGTCTCATGCGTCCGATGATGATTCCCTTGTTGCGCCCTTGTCTATGTGTAGAAACCCTAATTCGATTAGGTTGGGTCAAAGGGTTAGGCCCCCTACCGGGCCTACTTTGCTGGATCAGGTTAGTTTAGCTCGATTGGGCCCTTTTGTGTACTGGACTCCTTGGACCTGGAAAAAAAATAAAAAATATATATATATATAATAAAAAAATATAAATAATATAAATATAATATATATAAGGTAATGAAAATATATGAACATATAATATATAACTATATAATATATAATATATTTTATATATTATGTTTTCAAAAAAATCGTTTTAAAAAAACTATATATATGTTTCCAAAATTATATTATATATGTTTTCAAAACCATACGTTTTCAGAAAAAAAAAAGTTTTCAAAACTATATATTATATACTTTTTCAAAACTTTATATTATATATGTTTTCAAAAACTATTTTTTAACTATATATTATATGTTTTTTTTTAAAATAAATTTATAAAAACTATATATCATATATTTTTAAAAATCATATTTAAGACCTCGGACGGAAATAAATGTCTACAAATTGTAATAATCCTTCATCTATATATATATTTTTAATTGATTCAGTCTTTGATTCGATTGTTTCATACCGTTCCTCTAGTTTCATCATAAAATATTTTATCAGTATCCAAAAAAACAGTTAAAGTCACTGAGCTTGTTTGATTAGAAATTCCCTCATAACAAAGCATGTTCCTAAAATCAATAAACATCTCAGCTAATCAAAATGGGTTCCTTCGTCTTCCACAACGACCATTCTTATACTATTAGGCCCAAGCAATTCCCTATTCTTGGCCCAATTCGAGATCGTTCAAAAAGTCGAGGGTAACAGTAATATAAGACAAAAACATATTCAAAAATCAAATTAGCGAAAGGTACCAAGCTCAAGGACTAAATTGTAGTTTATCCCTTTTTCAGTCTTACATGTTTGTCATTGGATTCGAGGGTAATTAAGAACAAAACATAAGGTTAAGAAAATTTTAAAAAAATGTTAGCAGATAGGAGGTCCATTTCACTCGACAAGTACACGGTATCCCCTAACCATGACCTTAGGGCAACCTGACCAGAGGTGTAGTTAAAATGTTCCTAAAATCCACTTCATCTAAATTATAATATTACCATCATGATTAGGAAATGCTACCAACTAATTCCAATATCGGGGAAGATTTTACTCATCATATAGTAAATCACAATAAAATGTCCTAATCTCGTAGTTTGCAGTCAGTACGTTGTATAAAATGCACTGTATTTATATGGCTAGAAAAAGAGTCAAGAAACTGTAATACGAAGCTTTCCCAACATGGTAAAATAAAGGTTTAATTCTTCTCCCAGTCCCTATACTCATTAAACTTTTACAATTAATTCAACTACTTTTTTGAATTAATCACTAGTATTCGATATATTGATCGACTAATCCAGATTGGGTTTTGCAGAGGCCACTTATGGGACGACCCTCCCAATCTAGTTTGCTCTATTCGCAAATGCCAACGTTTGAACCTTTTTACCTTGCTTAAGAAATCTAATGTCTCATCCCACTATACCAATTTATTGTTGGTTAATTCAACTACTTTTATTTTAGGGTAAAGTACACAAATTATCCCGGACTAAGGGCGTTGCTTCGTTAAGTCCCATGACTATTGAAAGTTACAAAACGGTCTCACGATTGAAAGGCATTGCTTTGTTGAGTCCCCGACTATTAAAAGCTACAAAATAGTCATTCGATTATTCATATGTTCTTAGCTTGTTCTTTTTCGTTAAAAAATTGACAATCATCTGAGTTGAACGTTAGCCTAATCACTCGAATTTGATAAAATCTGATCTCAAAACTTTTTTAGTTGCATTTTGTGGATCAAGTCTCTGTTTATATTATGTCGTCGAGTTAGTGCTTGAAATATTATGTCGTTGAGCAAGTGCTTGAAAGCAACAATGGTACGGGTAAACATCATTAAAATATGATTTTATCATATCTCAATCAACATGTTAACGTCCAACTCATACGACCGTCAATTTTTTAACAAAAAATGACGAGTTTCAAACATATGAATAATCAACTGATCATTTTATAACTTTTAATAGTCGAGAGACTCAATAAAATAACACATTGTAGTCAGAGATTATTTTATTACTTGTAATAGTCAGATGACTCAACAAAACAACACCCTTACTTTACCCTTTATTTTTAAGATGTTTTATGCTTCTACTCTGATTTATACAATTGATGATAAGTTTAATGAATTTCATGTAGTATTCTAATATTTAAATGTTTAACTGAAAAATGAACTCCAATTGATAATATGTTTTTAAAATTAAAAGATGTTATCAATTAAATTTTAAATGGTCCAAAATACCAATTGGTAAACACAGCCAAACCCATTCCATACAGATAAATCTGTCTTTACTCTTTAGTAAACCTTGAAAGAGACGTGCTGTTTGATTTTCTTCATTCTTATCTTAAAATCCAAACCCGAAAAAAAAATGAATTTTAGAGGTAATTAGGCTTCATTTGTTTAATCTTTTCCTTCAATTCTCTCTCCATATCAGCAATGAAAAGCAGAAGGCTTTTTCCGGCCGTAACTGAAACAAACGATACCATAGACTGCCCTGATTTCTGTGACCCTGCATGCCCTTACAACTGCTACCATTACCCTGACTATTATTACCTACCGCCGCCGCCACTGCCGCCGCCTCCTCCCTTCTTGGTCGAAAACCATTACATCTCACCTTATGTGATCATCTTTGTTTCGGTACTCGCCAGTCTCATCCTTCTCGTCAGTTACTACGTAGTTATAGTCAAGTCATGTTTTGGTTGGTGCTGCTGGAGGAATAACAGGCAATCACGAACTCCAAATGATGCTTCAGATGAAGAGTTCATCGATGAGAATCAAGTCGATCATCATATTTGGTTCATCACCAACGTCGGTTTGCAACAATCGATCATAAATTCGATCACTGTTTGTAAGTACAAGAAGGATGAGGGATTGATAGAAGGGACGGAGTGTTCAGTGTGTTTGAATGAGTTCCAAGAAGATGAGACGGTGAGGTTGTTGCCTAAATGCAACCATGCTTTTCACATTTCGTGTATCGATACTTGGCTGAGGGCTCACACTAATTGTCCCTTGTGCCGAGCACATATCGTCTCCGATGCCTTGCGCAGCACTGCAACTCCAGTGGATCAAAATCCTGTTGATGTGGATGTAATTGTCGATAACCAGATAGAAAATTCTGACAATATAGGGATTGAAAATCCTGTTGATGTGGATGAAAACAGGGCTGAAAGAGATTTGTCAGAGGATAATGACCAAAGGGTTTCAAAGGAAGGTATCCATTTCGAAGAAAATGGCTCTTTGGAAGTCAGTGACTGCATTGAAAGAAGTCAAGTTGAGGATAAAGAGATAACAGAAATCAAAAGGTGCACTTCCGTGGATTCTTCTTCGTCAGCTGCAAGTTTGTTTCTGGGCATTCAGGGAGATGTGGAAAACCCAGATTCAAGCATCGGTGCAACCAAAGACAAGGAATCGGGAAATTATTCCATTTTTCAGCATCTTCATTTAAGCCCTGTTCCGATGAAAAGGTCATTCTCATGTGGCGGAAGTTTTTTCTCGTCATCCAAACGTTACCGGAGCATGAACTCAATTCTTCCGCTGTAAAGCTTTTTACTGTTTTAGATATAGTTTTGGGCTTAAAGCGTGCGATATTTGTTAAAAACAGAGAGATTGTATGCATGGAAGCTGAAGCCTTATGATGCTAACTGCTAAGCGAATTATATATGATCTATCAGAGGAATAAATTTCATGTTAGTGCGATAACACTTACGTTGTTAAGATGTATTTGTATAGTTCAATCATCGATGAGCATTGCATATAAAAACAGTAAAATCGATATTATAATCAGGCAATATTGTTTTTACTTTTGTTTTTCAGGTTTAGAAGAAATAATATTCTATGGGGTTGCTTAAAACCAGGTATAGGTTATAAAAAACAGTCAATTCTCATCGGCAGTCAAAAAGCTTGGCCTGATTTAGGTGGCTTGGGTTTTCATCAAGACCTAATTGCCATCGGATGAATCGACGTGTTCTTCACTATGAAGAATTGAAGATAATAATCTAAGCTTAATATACCTATAACTACGATTTTCATGTGTTAACAAATCTGAATGGTGGTTTCTTCAACCATACATGAATTGATACCGAAACTGATCGAAAGCCCTGTCAGTTTTTGGGTTCACGTGGTTGCAGCCTTAAGCCCAATTATTACAATTATTACAATAAAATATTAATCTCTTCTTACTTTTTTTTATATATAAATATGGGTGAATACGAGCTATTATCTATTCAAAGACTCTTAATCATTTAACAATGATTGTTCATGTTTATACATATATGAAGATCAACTTGAGACCTCAAGGGATAACAACAAGTCTCTTATTACAAGATAGTATTTTATTGATTTTTTTAGTAGTTTGGGTGATTACAAGATAGTATATGTTTAAAAATTTCTTAATCAACCCATGACTTTTAAGAAGAACAACATTCTCTTTTACTATAAGTTCACTTGATGGGTTATGAATCTTATTGAATTTAAATTTGCTTGTCTGTTTCGATTTAAATTTTATTATTTCTTTCGTTCCATAATTTTTGTCCTTTGTTGACCAAGCACATAATTTTTGGAGATAAGTTTAACCACATGTTAAGTTATATAAAAAAAAGAAACAATAAAATTATCCTTAAAAAAATGCTTGATAGATTTAACATACTTGCTTTTCGCATCATACGAAACAACTACAATGGCTATCATCCTTTTTAAGCATTACTTCTCGAACCTCCGTCAACACCAATAGATCATTAAAATTCTTTATGTGCGCTGAGATGGTAACAAGACTGCCGATGCTTTAGCCAAAAGTGCTAGGTATAATAGTTTGTCTCCTACTCTCTTTGTTGATCCACCTGCTGCATTATTGTCTTTGATTTAAGATGACATCGTGGAAGATCATTAGTGATCTAGCGTTAGCTGTTTTGCTGTTGGTCAGAGCTTGTCTCCTTTGTTTCTTCGTTTGTTTTTCCCATATTATTATATGTACTCTTTTCCTCCGACTACATTTAATAAGTTTTTAATGAGATATATAATAATATTTTTCTTTTGTATGTTTCAATTACGAAGACATACATCTTTTACTCAAAAAGAAAATATATATATATATATATATATATATATATATATATATGATTATTTATTAACTTGTCTAATAAGACGTTTTAAGTGGGATAATTTTAAAAATTAAAATGGACAAATTTAAAGGGACAAAGGAGTATGATTTAAGTTTCACTATATATAGTTTTGATATTAATAAATTCATCAAATTTTACATTTGTATTTTATTATTGATTCTAGCCTATTGTTCTTTTCATATGATTATTTCCCTTTTAGAGGATGTTTTTCAAATCTAAAGTTTATAATTTTGTCGATAAATTATAATATCAATATTTTTAATTTATATTTATAAAGAATATTATATATATATTTTTGGATAAATGCATTATTTTATAGAATTTTATATTTTGTTAAAATTTAAAAAAATTAGGCAACTTTATTATAATATTATAAATATATACATATATATGTTAAATTGATTTATTTAACATAAATTGAAAACCCAAGCAGTTAACACATTTAAATGTTATTTAACCAAATAAAATTGAAATTGAACTAGTGAATCGAATCATCCAAATTACATCGACTAAGTCGTAATGAAATGAAATTCTACGAGAAGGCAAATCCTGAAGAAGCTTGAAGTAGCAGGCCGAGACGGAGACAGGTGACTGTAATCAAGGCTTCGGCTTGTATTTTTAGTTTTTTACATACATCTCTGGGTTCAAAGAGTAACTGCGGAGCATCTTCTATTTTTGCACCATCAGATCTGGACAATCAATCAGCCAATCAAGTTCAACACAAAAGACAAACACTTGGATCGTTTTGTTATCGTCTTTTTTTCCGTATATAGATTTGGATTTTTTTTTTTGAAAGAGGGTACTTTATATTAGAGAAGGTTATAAAGTACGTCACGACCAGGTCCTCATTAAAAAAACCTCCCTAGTCCTAAATGAAAGAAAAAGAGTATTCCCTAGGGTGGAAAAAGAGAGGGTACTTGGATATTCATGGAGTTGTCATCGCCTTTGGGTTTGACTTCAACGTTTCAGTGGTATATGTGGCCCAAATTATAATGATATCTACTTACCAGCAACCCTGCATGCATTGCCTTGGATTATTGCTTGTTTCAACTCCCGCACACGCCGCTCTAATTTAAAACTAATATCTCTAATCACTCAAAGATCTCCTCGTATCGTTTTCCAGTTGAATTAATCGTTTCTACTTACATCTCAAGAAAAAAAAAACAAAAAACACCGGTTGAAACATATTTAATTTTCAAATGTCAAGGGTGTGTATGTATATATTCTTATATTCACGAGGCCAACCGATCAATCGGTGCCACACCGGTGCAGTCAAACTCCCTCTGTTTTTTCGTTGGATTACCAAAAAGTAGGGAGTCAAACCCTCGTATCGTTTCCAGTTGAATTAATCGTTTCTACTTACATCTCAAGAAAAAAAAACAAAAAACACCGGTTGAAACATTTAATTTTCAAATGTCAAGGGTGTGTATGTATATATTCTTATATTCACGAGGCCAACCGATCAATCGGTGCCACACCGGTGCAGTCAAACTCCCTCTGTTTTTTCGTTGGATTACCAAAAAGTAGGGAGTCAAACGCTATCCTTATATTCGATACGGGATGATTTCTTTAAATTTCTTTCCATTTTAATAATTTATTCAATAATCCTCTTGGATAATATTTAAGAAATAAATTAGCACGAGCCCCAAGAACAGGGACAATGGTCACATCGTAGTGCTTTTACTGTTGAGGCTAAATGTAGATCAAATAGTTTCGATGATATTGGTATCATTTTCAGTAGCCATCCTCATTTCTTAATAATGACAGGCCTGGAAATGATGGGAGGAATATATAGTACTCGCCTCCATCCATGATGGTCTTATTATTGTATATTCAAAGCCACAATCATTTCCAGTTGCAATCATTTCTTTAAAGAAACTTCTTCGATCTTTCCTGGAACTCTATCCTTGTATGCAGGTGATAAAAGAATCTCCTGTCACTCGACCCCTTTTTCCACGAACCTGCTTCTTTCATTTCCATCTTTACCTTTTAATTAATAATAACGCATATAATAGAAGGTTGAAAGAGAGGGCCAAAACAAAATTTCAAAATCTGAAAACTTTACCATCAATCAAATGAGAGTTACAAACTTGGCCGTTTATGAAGGTATTTTCATGCTACACCTAGCCTAGCTTCCTTTAGTTTCCCTAAAGTTAAGACAAAAATCTAATGAATCTTCCTGATTAATGATTTTTCAAATTAAGATGAGCACTTTGGCTTTCCCTTTTCATATCATGCAAGTTTATGTCGACATTCCGTCCATTGCATTTGTGGCTACTTTAGGCGTATGGTTTCCAGATCATGACCATATACAATATTAAAATGGTATTGTTCAGTCATTATCCCAAAAATAGAAGAAACATAAAAGGAAAAAAAAAGCAACATTCTATCTATGGGCTGCAAAAAGTAATCTCCTTTACTTGTTTTCCACAATTTAATCACAAAGGGGCTAATAATCCAGAATTTTATAATACAATGGCGGAAGGTAATCATCAAAAACAGATTGAGGCACCTGCGCATATTTTAAAAGTTTGTAAAGCTATAGTTAGATTTAGAATGCCAACACTATCGAGTTATTAGTGCATTCACAAATCATATTATATAATTTACGTAAAAATTTAAAGATGGAATTATTGGAACAATCAATCATGAATTCAAATATGGATAGTGAACAAATATTACAGGGAAAAAAAAACAGAAAGTGGACAGTAAAAAAAAAGAAGGGGTTTCATATAAAAGTGGAAATGCAATGTGATCGTCAAGGAAACAGCATGATATATTATTGGGGGAAAAGGGGAAGGCATTTATTCTCTCTGTTGTTTCCAGGAAGGAGAAGGGTAATGGGTCACTGTAACAGTGATTTTCATAATTTCAGTGCTAAAATATAGTAAATTTTCGGTAAACTTTGCACGAAGGCAATACATGAAGGGGCACAGGACCCCAGGTAATATATTTTTATGATCTTTAAGTGTTTTAATTATATGATCTTTTTATTTTTTTGAGACGCAAAGTAACAGAATTCTGTCCAGTTCTCTGTACTGTAGCTGATGGGGCACAGTTCTATGGCAAACTCGTTTTTCTTTACTAAAATAGTAATAATAAGACTTTTAATTTGCCTCCATTAGCAGGATGAATTACATTAGGGAGAATATTGTACTCACGGCACTGTATGTTCATCAAAATACATGAAGGAAATATATTTAAAATTGCATACTTGCTAGAAATTAGATAACAAACAACAATGGAGTCCCTTCCTGATCAGTTACAGCAGGACAAAAAAAAAACATTGGCTTTATATGTCTCGGTTTCTCTCAGCTAAAAGCCGCTTCTTCTTGGATTTTGCGCAACATTTGATTAACTGCAGCAGCAATTTCATCCACAGTGTTCAGATGGCACCCTTCCTCAATCTGTCCCGATTGACAATAAAAAAAAAAAGCAATTATAATTTGAGATGGTGATGAAATTGGAGAAATTTTTTTGTTAAATGATTGGTTGGTTTTGTTCTTATTACCTTGACGCTAATTGAATACAAAACCATTTCATCGACGGTGGATACATTGAGGTGGAGAATGGTGAGGATTAGGTTTTGCAACCCGGCAACCAGTTTCAGGAGTTGTCTGGGTCGTTTCTTCGAGAGTATCTTGAGGTTGGCATATGTCTCTACCATGGTCACTTCTATATCCGCCACGCTTTCTGCAGAAGCGGTAGCGGCGGCCGTGGGCTGATCAGCCGCCATGGACGACGGTGAATTGTTGCACTGAGACGTTGCACTAGAGGAGAATTGTGGAAAGGAGAAAAACTCGGCGAAGGCTGAAAAGTGTCCGTTGTGTTCTGGCTGTTGAGTGGTCCTCTTATGAGCCTCCATGGTCCGCAAGAGCTGCTCTAATTCCTTCACGAAATTAATTGCCCCGCCAATTATCGAAGCTTGATCACCCTGGAAATGGCTAATGCATATATTAATTTGTTGTATGATAAAGAAAGATACGTAGCTGACCTAGTCTACAAATCTAAAAGGTTTCCATGATTCATGAAAGTCAGTAATTTCTCAAGTTCTTCACCCAATGGCTTTTACTGTTCATAAACAAAAACGGTTATATTACGTTGATAAGTGGGTGTTTGATTAGGGTTGTATAAACTTGTTTTAAAGGTTAATATTCTTTTATTAGTTGAAATTATCAAACAAGAAGTGTGTGAGAGAGATAAAAACTGACCCTTTGAACATAAGAAGGTGGCATCAGAGCTCTAATCGCAGCCAGGTAGTCATTCATTTGTTTCCGGCGATTGCGTTCAACAGCGATATGAGTCATTCTCTGGTTCTCCAGCTCTTCTTTGTTCTTGCTGCTCCTGGTGCGACGACGTTTTCGTCTAGTACCGTTGGTCGCCGATGTTGTTGCACTGTAAGCTTGTTGAGGTTCCGTTGGAGCTTGGAAACCAGCAGCCGCAGGGGCGGGGAGAGACTGATCGGCAGTGCAAGCTTCGGATGAAGAAGAGTAAGGATCCCATAGTTCATTTGCATGTTGTTTCATGACTGAAGCAGACGAGGAGTCCCAATTTGCATGCAGATAATGATGATGATTCTCTTGTTGTTCTAAATTGCTTTTAAGAATCACAGTAAGAGCTCCATCTTCTTCTTGGAAGCCAAAATCATAACCCCAAGCTCCTCCTCCGGGAAAGTGGTCCTTGAAACCATAGGTAAATCGATCTGGAGGGTAAACCACCGCTTCTAATGCCATGTTTTGCAAGAACCCCGATCCTTATCACACTTGCTATAATCTGTTTCCCCCCCCCCTCGTCCTTGGTATCTCTCTCACACACCAAGGGACACACGCAGGGTTTTAAAAAACGGTCCACGACCGCGATATAACGATTTCGTCGCCGTCCGAGTTACCCGCGATTGCCGCAATCACGATAAATCCGAAATAACCGAAAACGCGACCGCAACCGCGATTTGAAACCCTAAACACACGGTTGTATTGTCTATTCTCTCTTTTTTATATGTAAAAGGAAAAACAAGGGATGAATGAACAGATTAAAAGGGAATATTTTTGTGATTATAAGAGCTGAAATCTGAGAGAGAAGTGTTCCCTAGCTAGTAGAAAGCAAGCCAAAATGAGAGAAAGAAAAGAAAGAAGAGTCCAAAGCACTACACATCCAAAAGACCAAACAAGGTCCCCCTTTTATCATCTTCTCTTCCCCCATCAAAGAAAGTTTATCAACTTTTTAAAAGATGTTTAATCCTTAAAAAAAAAAGCTACAGCATGCTACACGTGAGATTACATTGCAGACCAGAGAGAGATTCTCTATGGCAGTTGGAGAGAGACGAATGTTGACAGGGTAAAATGAAAAATCTCATTTTGATTATTATGAATATTTAAATATAATATTTGTATTTTCTCTCCTTGAATGACTGATAATAAAATTCATATTTGTAATGTCTCCGCTATTTCAATATATTTATATTTCTATTCATGTTAACATATAGGGGTATGTATTTTATCATCATCCTCTTATTTTATCGGCAAAATCTCGTTGATAGTGCGTTGAATTTTTTTTTTCACGAAATAGTGGGATCGTCAGATTAATTGCTCAAGTGGTGTCCTCTACAGTACCGGGGGTAGGTCGCCATGCACGCCCGGCGACCTACCAGGTCGCCATGCACGCCCAGCGACCTGGTAGGTCGCCATGCATGCCCTGCGACCTACCAGCCAACGACCTCCATGCCCATGCACGCCCATCTCGCCAAAGGAGCACGCCCATGCACGCCCATCCATGCCCTGCTGCATGCTCGCCTGCTCGCGACCTTGCCGGGACTCCATGGCCCCGAGTGTCCCATGCATGAACCGTTCCTTGGTCGCCTCGAGTGCCCCATGCATGAACCGAGCCCCGAGTGCATGGCACGATCTCCCCATGCATGAATCCTTGGTCGCCCCGAGTGCATGGCGACCTCCTTGGTCGCCGGGCGTGCATGGCGACCTAGGAGGTCGCTGGGAGTGCATGGCGACCTATGGTTGGGTTGTGCATGTCCCATGCAGAGCAAGCCACGTCGTAGGTCGCCCGGAAGGCATGGCGACCTACGGCCACACTGTTGATTTCGCCCTATTTCAGCAAATAATGTTGGGATAACGTTATTTCGTGAATTATTTATTTTGAGGGCATTATATCGTGAGTTTAGCCTATTTTATCATAGTCATATGTTTTTTAAAATAACTATTACAGTTTTAATGTACAGTTTCAAAATATTTATAGGCATATATTATCTTGTACTTACCCAGATTAATCAAATAATAATAATTTTATTATGATAATTTTTTAATTTTATTTATTTATTTTATTATCATTTTACAGTTTTATCCCTATAATATTTCTATAAATAATAAAATTATTTTCAATATTTAATATACTCAACCATCTCCTCCTCTCGTCTCACTTCTTCTCTTATAGATGAAAGGTCATTGATTTTCTTCCTTCAAAAAATTTGTCAATTTTTTCCTTCTTATAAAAAGAATAATATTAATTGGGTACTCTCTATATTCGAGTATATGAGTGTAGAACATAGTGTTAAGTATTAATATTAGAGACGACTTTCAGCTTATGATTATATCGATCATGGTAAAATATATTTTAAAACAATAATTTTTATTATGATACAATAAATTTATTTTTTAAATTTATTTAATATAATCATTATTAATGCTTTGTTTTATATCAATCTTCTTGCCAACAACCAACATTGTTGGAGTCTTGAGGTTTTTGGTGATAACAAAAGAAGTATACAGTAAATTAAAGCAAATCACAAATTATTTATCGAAATTAATAGAGAAAACACAATGGGGAACCGATGCTTTCGGCTTTTGAATCCTTGAAATGTCTGATGAAAAATTGTTTCTTCAACTAAATTTGATCTGTTGTTATAAATATTAAATTGAAACTGAACTAATTTCATTTTTTTTCAATAAAAATAAGATCAGAACATTAAGGAAACTAGTGGATCCAAACTCCAAATTAAGGGTATATCTAATATCGTGAAAGGGTAGTATCAAATTTTATCTTGTCCCTGCCCAAAACATTAAATTAATAATTAAAAGAAACCTCAACAGTGATAAGGACTATTTTTCAGGTTGGACATCCAATATAATAAAATAACAATAACGAATTAAAAGGAAGGGTTGTTTGGTCTTTGGACTAATTCGGAATAGCCTCGTAATTAACCTTCTTGTAGAATGTCCAAACGAAACAGATGTGCCTAATTAGATATATGGTTCTCATAAGATAATAATGCTGTCGGACACTTGGACATTAAACTCAGAAACATGACAAAAACCTGATGATAAACCGGAGATTCTCATGAAAGATCTATTACATAAAAAAATATGAAAAAAACAGGCAAAACAGCTTAGTCTTTTTTCTTCTTCTTTTCTCCATAAAATTATTATGATTTTTTTTTTTTGTATTTCAGGTGTCTGGTAAATGTTATGTCAAGAGGAATCCATGTGACCATTCAAAGAATCACTCTGATCATCTAAGACCAAGACTATGCTTCTCCTCCACCCTCTCTATTCCCCAAAAATTCTGTACTTCCAAATTGTTAAATTTTCAATTTTAAGTTTATTCTATGATATCTACTAATTATAGTTATTAAAACATTCTCTATTCTTACGATACGTTTTTTTCTCTTTATTTTTAGTATATTGATATTTTCGTTTATCTTTTTCAGCGTTAGATTTGATATCGTATCGATTAATCAAGATGACACTTATTTATATTAATAATGATCTTTCTTATTTTGGACCCTCATATTAGGTTTGGATACACCGTTTACGTTTGTGGATAGTTTTCTCACGTCACCCGTCTTTGATTTACAATTTTGTCGACAGTCTTTCAGTAGTTTGATACTCTTTTATGGTTCGTTTACAAAAACGTTTAGATATGCTCATATATATATATATATTTAATTTTTTGGTTGAATTTTTAACATTTTCCTTATATGGTCCTAGTATAATTTCAAGTGACTAGTTTTTATGTCAATGATGATAGGAAAATATCATAATTACATGTTTAGTTTACAATTATGGTTGTAATCTTTTATTTTAATATTGCACATTCTTAATAAAATTAGATGTTTTTATAAAAATAATAATGTCAAATCTTTCTAAACATACCTATAACTTTTTTTTTAAATATTGAATAAAAAAATATACATAGCTACCTATCATTTAATCCTAAAAATGATAAGTGAATTTTATTTTATAAAAAAATTGAAAATATATTTCATTTTGTTTTAATTAGACATCCAAACTTTTATCCAAAACCACCGATATAATATAACATATTATATTAATAAAATTAAAATGATCAAATAACTAATCTCCAAATTTTAAGATTTATGGTTATAAAAATAATATTCACACTTGATACTTAATTTTTCAATATATTAATTTTTCTCTCTTCTCCCATAGCCTCCATTGTTTCTTTTCTTTTTCAAATTTGTGATCAACGATGACACCAGTCTTAGTACTGATTGCTGACCGCCGATATTCCTTATTTTTCCTTTCCTTTATTAAAGCGTATCTTTGTTTTTTGTTTTGTTTTTTATTCTTAATAATTCTGCCTTTTTGGCACGTATTCTTCTGCCTTTATGACACACTTTTATCTACCTCTATGGCACGTTTTCGGTTGTTTAGATGTTGTTTTCGTTTATTTTTTCAAGGTTAGATTTGACATCGCCATGACTGATCAAGATGGAGCTTATTTGTTATCATTATGATCTTCCCTGCTTTGGAACCGAGGATTAAATTTGGATATACAATTTGCGTTCGTGGATAGTATTTTCATATCGCTCGATTCTGATTTGCTTCATGTTGGTGGTCTTTCAATAGATTTATTCACTTTTGTGGTTCGTTTGCCGATGCAGTAAGATCTATTCGTATTTATCTCTTGTTCGAGTTTATTTGTTTAGGTTTTTAAACATTTTCCTTGTATGATCCTTGTGTGATCTTAATTAGTGACTAATTTTCTTGTGTTTAAGAAAATATTCTTATTATATGGTTGTAAACCTTCATTATAATTGAATCTTTTGTATTTTTAATAAAATTAGAGGCTTATAACAAAAATAAATTTTCAATATATCAAATAACATCTTAAAAACATTAATTTATTTAATCATATTACTTTAATACATAATAATTTAAGGTTTACATTTTATTTTATAACAAATAATTTTGAATACAATATGTTGCACTCATATCTTTTCTATGGGAATGGGTTATTTAACATTTTAATCACATTATAAAAGTAGGCACATCAATTTCGATAAGACATCAATTCTTGATGATTCCTTTACTCTCTTCACCTTGGGTTCTTATTCCATGGAATATATTGTTAACACCATAACCATATTCTATTGTTCTAATGTCGGAATTTAACTCATTTTAATTTATCTTTTCCACCCCCAAACAAACCCAAGTGGCATTCTTTTAAAGTGTCACTACAAAACAACTGTTATTTATGAGATTCCTTGACCAATATGGTCATTAAGAATATACAATTTGCCTTATTTTTATTTCCTTGTGCATCGTTGAAAACAATAAACCAAATTGCCAATGGACTCTCAATAATTTAATTGCAAGTTGTCATCTAATATTTGAAAATATGTGTGGCTATCGTTTAACTACGTTTGAGCTTCATCACACGCAAGCAAGGCGCTAGCACCCTTTTGAAAATGAGCATGCATGCAAGTATAAGTCCTATTTGTATGAGTTTTATCTTTAATTATTTAATGATATATATTAAAATATTAAAATAGTATATTTAAATATTTAAAAATTAATATATCATTAATATAAAATTTAATAATACAAATCTTACATTGATTATATATTAGTTTTTACAAATTCTTAAATATAGTCTTTTAATATATATTTATTCATTGATTGAAAATAGGATATATATACACACATCTCGTCGTTGTTGTTTGACTCTCATACATGTATTTTTCGACATATATTGTGTAATCATTCTTTTTAGATTAAATTTGTTTATTTAAGGATTCTATATGTAACTAAATATAAGAAAAATACTAGAATGCAATATACTTTTAATGCCACCACCAGTTTTTTATTTGATTGAGGATTTTGTTCACATATAGGATCCATCCACCAAGCAATTATTGATTTTTATAACGGAGATTAATGTAATAATTAAGATCATTGTTTTGACTTAAGAGCTCCAGGAATAAATGTAAGGTGAA